AATCTCTTCTTCCTACACCACGAAAATCACGAAAGTAGTCAAAACAACGAAGAGAGCTATGCAAATAAGCATGAATCGGAGTTTTTGGTTGCTTTTGCAAGACATCTAATTCTGCAAGGTTACGCTCCTTCAGAAATCACTATCCTTTGTACCTACACTGGCCAACTTTTTTCTCTTATGAAGGTATGAGGAAATATTTCTTCTCTATTTCTTACTATCAAAAGAAATTACCTAAAACTTAAATTTTTTTTGACTGAATTCTTTAACTTGTTAGTATAAAATTTGTACACACAGAGCGACCACTTTTATTATACCCGAGCGCACTTGTGCACAAGGGTATATTAATTTTATTCACATAACGGTTGTTTGTAACAGCCAAAACGAATCGAGATAGATATAGACAAATGTATACATAAATGATCAGGATGAAAAAAGAAATCGATTAAGCCATGTCTGTCTGTCCGTCCGTCCGTGTACACGATAACTCGAGCAAAAATTGAGATATCTCAACGAAATTTGGTATGTAGGTTTCCCTTAATCCAAGGTAGGTTGGTATTGAAAATGGGCGAAATCGGACTTTGACCACGCCCACTTCCCATATAACGGTAATTTCCAGAAATACGAAAACTGCGATATTTTAGTAACTACTGAAGATAATTCACTCAAAATTGATATTTACAATAATTTTTAGACGAAAAATAAGAGTATTATAAATTTTTGCAAAATGGGCGTAGCCACGCCCACTTATGGTTACATGTGTATATCTTGGTAACTGCTGCACCAATTTCTTCCAAACTTGGCACAGTTGTTGGCCTTCGCACAACATACCAAATGGCCGAAAATTTTTAAAATCGCTCAATAACCACGCGTACTTCCCATATAACGGTAATTTTCAGAAATACGAAAACTGCGATATTTTAGTAACTACTCGAGATTATTCACTCAAAATTGATATTTTCAATAACTTTTAGACGAAAAATAAGAATATTATAATTTTTTGGAAAATGGGCGTAGCCACGCCCACTTATGGTTACATGTGTATATCTTGGTAACCGCTGCACCAATTTCTTCCAAACTTGGCACAGTTGTTGGCCTTCGCACAACATACCAAATGGCCGAAAATTTTTAAAATCGCTCAATAACCACGCGTACTTCCCATATAACGGTAATTTTCAGAAATACGAAAACTGTGATATTTTAGTAACTACTGGAGATTATTCACTCAAAATTGATATTTATAATAAGTTTTAGACGAAAAATAAGAATATTATAAATTTTTGGAAAATGGGCGTAGCCACGCCCTCTTATGGTTACATGTGTATATCTTGGTAACCGCTGCACCAATTTCTTCCAAACTTGGCACAGTTGTTGGCCTTCGTACAGCATAAAAAATCGCCGAAACTTTTTAAAATCGGACAATAACCACGCCCACATCCCATATAACGGTAATTTAGAGAAATACAAAATCTTCGATAAATCAGTAAATATTGAAGCTAATTTATTCAAAATTGATGCTTGCAGCAATTCTTTACCAAGAAATACGTTTATGGTAAAATTTTGGAAAATGGGCGTGGCACCGCCCACTTATGATCACATATAAGTATATCGGTAACCGTTCTACCAATTTGTACCAAATTCGTTGTGGTTATTGTGCTTGCCACATATAAGCAAAACGTTGAAAATTATTGAAATCGGACTAAAATAACGGCCGCTTCTCATAGAACGGTAAATTTCAGAAATGCTTGAAACTTCAATATTTCGAAATTGAAGGACGCTAATTTACTTAAAATTGATACACCCCGGCTTACCATCTAGCGGAAGGTTTCGGAAAGGTGAAAAAACATATATTTAATACTTGCGCCGGGTATTTAATGTTCGGCTCCGCCCGAACTTAGACTTTCTTACTTGTTTTCTGATTAGCTTTGTTTTTTCATTGCAGATTTACAGTCGAAATCTCGTATTTATTTATTTTACAGGAAACAGATCGATACGCAGTTTTAAAACCGATGCGAGTGACGACTGTAGATAATTTTCAGGGAGAGGAAAATAAAATAATCCTCTTGTCTCTGGTACGCAACAATGAAGAAGGTAACATCGGATTCCTCAAGGAGGAAAACCGAGTTTGCGTCGCGTTATCGCGTGCTCGCGATGGCATGTACATCATGGGCAACATCCATAATCTCGTGATGAGAAACACCATTTGGCCGAAAATCAAGAAGGTTCTGGAGGAAGAAAACGCCATAGGCAACGCTCTCGAATTGAGATGCGAGGTTCATCATGATCAAATCACATTGGTAAAAATGCATGCTCCATTTATAATATACAACTTTACATGATCATATAAATATATTCTTATGCACTGATTTATATAAACAAGCACATAAGAATCTTTGTTGCCCCTTATTGAGAAACTTGGGTCCGGCTTAGTTATTTGTACAACGATTTTCGGTTGTTGTGTCCAAACGCATAACCCGAATCCAAAAACTTTAACATACAAGTGTAATCAAAGGATTCACATTTTATTTAAGATAAATGTTTCAAATTTCCTACCACTAGCTTATTAATAAACTCGGTTTACACTATGCACTCTTGCAAATTTCTGCGCAAAAATACTGTGGACGGCGTAGCCGGAGTGATATGCACAAGAAATGTTGTATACCTTTGACATGCGGAAGCCCCTCCGCCCCAGTGATATAACCTTGGGAAAGGATGAGGTAACTAGAATTCCCTTTCTGTGTGGTAAACCTGGGGCTGCCGCCCCAGTGATGTACGCGAACGCAAAAACTTGTAAGTTTTGGTTAAACATGAACAATTAACAGCTACGCGAACGCAACTATTATTGTTAAATTAGTGCACAGATTTAGTAAATTAAATTTTTGTAATAAAGCGTGAACTGTTGTCTACAAGTGTGTGTAAAAGTTTTTTTGATTCGATTCACGCGTTTGGGCACAGCAACCCAAAATCGTTGTACAAATTCATAAACAGTACCCAAATTGGAAAAAGCAGCAACATCTTGCACAGGGCATCGATAGCCGATTTGATTGATGAACAACTACTCACAACTGCCGCGGACAGACAAGGGGTAGTTCGAATCCTTGCCTCGGAAAAAAGTCTGATGATGTTGAAGTGATATTCGAATAAATTTCAGCCGAGAGGCCCAATTTTCTACCACTTTTTATAGCAATTGGGGCTGTATGTCAACAATAATGCGCCGAATATTCTCTTCCAAGGCGTCAATCGCAATGGCAAACCAAACTGAGTAAAAATCAAGTAACAGCTGTCAAAAAGGCCAACTTCGAAAAAAGTATTGCCTCTTTGAAAACCACACGTCTAAAAAACACCCTTTATTTGACTTATTTGATGCCTAATTTTCGACCACTTTTTGCAGCAATTGGGGCCGTATGTCAGCAATA